GAGAAGGTATGTCATAAGCCGAGCAAACAGCACATGTGTGTAGTCACAGCTACTTGTGGGCTGACACAGGCAGATCTCAAGTTTGAGGCCAGCCAGGGCAACAGAGCAAAACCAGACGGTGGGGGGAACAGACAGAAAGACAGACACACACAACACATTTCTCTCTGTGGGAGAAACTTAAAAAATTCCCATCTTGAGATAAGACTATCTAGCTTTGGGTACTTCTTCAAAGGATGTCCATGGGGAAGCAAGGCCTTGTCACCCTTTATTCAGCAGGGGCCCAGGTACAAAATGTGCTCAGGATCTAATGGCTAACTGGGCAAAAAGGAACACAACAGGGAACATGCTAGGTGAAGCTGGGGTTGCAGGGAAGCAACTGTATTCAAAATAAGAGCTAAGGCTGGCTGGACGACGTGTGCAGCTCTGAGTTTGATCCCCAGAACCAAGAACACACACAACACTAAGGCTGCCTTAGGTATTTCGTGGTGAGGGCAGCAGCAGCCACATTCTCCAAGCACTTGTGCCAGATGTAAGGCACCAATGTCCTCCTGTCACCACCTGGAATTCTCATCACAATCCCTGGGCTGAATTGAGCCTTGCTCAACACTAAGAAGTTAGGTGACGTGCCTGAGGTTACAGAACCAGTAAGTAACTGCCCAGAAGCCTAATCCTCCAGAGGAGGGAGCACAAAAGTTTGAGAGTGGCAGGAGAGTGGCAGCAGAACCCAATGAGGTGGGAAAAAGGCTGACAGGTGGCACCACCCACCTGCTTTTGCATCCATGCCAGGCTGATACAAGGCCAGGTGCCCTGAGGAAGGATTGAACCAGCGAAACCAACCTCCACGTTCAAACTTTGCAGAACCCAAAGGCAAACAGTTCTTCAGCAGAAACCAGACCCAGCAATTTAGATGAGTCCCAGGCCAGAGGACCTCAGAAACTTTGCAAATTCCCATCTTGAGACAAGAATGTCTACCTTTGGGTGCTTCTTCAAAGAGTCTGTGTGGGACAGCGAAACCATGTTGCCCTTTAAAGTAACAGGAAGTCAGGGAATATGGTGAGGAGACCTGCCCTATAAGTAAAATAATAGGTAAAGTCTAATGGGGCTCCCACCTTGTCCAGTTTTTTTTTTAAATTGCTTTTCCCTTTCAGTTTTTAAATAACACTATGAAAAGGCACACAAGTCCTCAGAGGCAGCAAGAGAGAGAGCTTCAGTCAGTCTTAGGAACTGTGGCCCCGGCTGAGTCGGGAAGAAGGTCTCGTACTCAGAGCACCGGCCCACTCTGCTCCAGCACCATGCAACGGCACTTTACTAAGTGCTTTACAGAACTCTCCTCCAGGCAAGGTAAATGCTATTAATTCAATATCACAAATAAGGAGGATGAAGCTAAGAGAAGCATAGGAAGTAATTCAACCCAAAATTAGACCTGTCATTTAAATACCAGTCTTCTGACTTCTACTGCCACCAAAGGAGAAAAAAGGGGATGTTTACTGGCAGAGGGGGCTTACCTGTTCTTTTTACCATCTCTAACAGAGATGTCAAGGCTCCTCTCCCAAAGAAAATATCAGGTACACTGATTTTGGAGGAAGGAACAAAGTCACTACACCCCCCACCCTCCCAATTTTACGATAATACCCAAGAGTGCATGTCTCAAAGTCCAGTAAGATTTCATGGTATTTAGCAAGGGACTGAATACACAATGCATTCTAAGCCTGATGGCTAATTGGGCAGAAAGGAATACAAGGGGGAACACGTTAGGTGACGCAAGGAAGACAGGAAAACAACCAAGACCCAGATAAAGGCATCCAATTCAATAATTAAAAATAACAAACAAAAATTATTTATATATTATCTTTTTCCACTTGGTTAAATATTAAAAAAAAAGGTTATCTCCCAATATGACCAAGATTTCAACCAGCAGTCACTCTCAGTATTTCCATCAACTACAGCCTTATCCATTTGGCTCTTCTGCATCAATTTCAAGTTTCTGAAACCCAAAATTGATTAGCTCATGCAGGCTACAGAAACAGGTCAATCCCAGGTGAGAACAAATAAAATACTTCAAAGGGACTAGCAACTAGTTAATTATCTGGTGACAATCAAATGTAAACAAATCTTGCAAGCCAGTCCCTCAGAATGTGGGCTCAGGACAAAAGTAGAGCTGGGACTGACCTCAGGATTTCCTTTCTAGGACCAGGGTTAATAGCACCAAACACCCCACCAGGTCACAGATGATGAATGTAAAAAGGCACTCTGCCCGCACTGCACACCTCTCAGACGCAGGACCAGTAGCTTGTAGGCCAGGAGATACACAAGTAGACAGCAGAAACGGAACTGACAACAGGAAGGTCACAAATGCCTTTAAGCCATGAAGACCAGAGCGTGAGGGCTGGGAACTTGGTTCTCAAGGTCAATGAAGAGTGGTGACAGGAACTAAGAGCAGCGGCTCATACCTGTGTCTGTAATCCCAGTGGCTCGGGAGGCTGAGCCAGCCCCAGCAATTTAGTGAGGACCTAAGCAACTCAGCGAGACCTTGTCTCTAGATAAAATATAAAAAGGGCTGGGGATGTGGCTCAGTGGTTAAGCGCCCCTAGGTTCAACACCCGGTACCAAGGGGAAAAAAAAAGTGTTAACAGCCTGACCTCTCTAGACTCAAGTCATAAATGTCCTGTACAATCTCATCTAGGCATGATGAGATGAGAATAAAATTATAACTGTATTTATTATTCCTCTTGGAAAGGAATGAATGCTATTTCCTGTGTTCCTCTGAGAGGGAAGGAATGATTTACTGTGAGGGACCCTTCTTCCCCTGCTTCCGAACCAGAGATGAAATCCAGAGCTTGTGACTTATTAGGTGTAACTGATCTACCATTAAGCCACATCCCCAGCCCTCTCTATTATTTTGAGAAAGGATGTCATATTTTGCTGAGGCAATCTCAAAATTGCAATCTCCTGCCTCAGCCTCCTGAGTAGCTGGAATTACTTACAGGTGCATGCTACCATACCAAGCCTGTGAGGAATAGCTGGTCTCAGCAGCAAAGATTTTTTTATCCACATACAGACTACTGTTGAGATTTGTTCCTAACTGCTTGGTTTTATAATTTTCCCAGCAAAATCCTCATATGGTGAGGTGTTAAAGAGAAAGATGTATGGTAGAGGCTAATAGACCTAACACTTAGTCTCACAGAGAAACCCCTGGTTTTGGTGTTAGAGATTGAACCTAAGGTTGCCTTACCACTGAGTTACATCCCCACCCCATTTTATTTTGAGACTGGGTCTGGCTAACTTGCTGAGGTTGGTTTCAGGCTTGTGATCCTCCTGCCTCAGCCTCCTGAGTGGCTGGGATTACAGGCATCACTGCTATGCCCAGCTTAGGCAAAGAAATCTCTACCATCACTACTTAAAAAAATAAAACAAAATTGGATTAAGGATATAGTTCGGTAGTAGAACACTTGCATAGTGTATGGCCCTTGGTTCTATCTCTAGGACTTCAAAAAAATATATATATATAATATACACACACATAAAAATATCTCTCTACATATCCACATACATACATAATTTCAATCTGTACTTTGGCCATAGATTTAAGTAGCTAAACTCAACCTTCTCCTAAGAAACCAACAAATCAATGGTTGTCCTGACAGAAGAAAAGTTTCTATTCCTGTGGGGGAGGTGTGCCAGGAGTGCATAGCACACCTTATGGAGACTAGGGATGTGACCAGCCAGGAACTGACACTACCTGTGGGCAGCCACCACAGTGCAGTAGAGGGGACTAGAAAGTAAGGGCTGCTTCAAGAATGTCTGGCTATCAGATCTAGACAACAGTAACTTTCTCTTGCAGGATTTTACCAACAGTTTTAGAAAGACACACTAATTCTCTTGCACAGTAAGAGGAAAATCAAGAAGGCCTGTGATTGCCTGAATTTCCAGCCCATAGTCCATGGCAACCATGGCAGCTCTCTTGCATACCCAGAGCATGCTGGGAACAGAACACCCAACCCCACGCAGCCTCAATGAAAAGGGCTGAGAAGTTACTACTGAAAAGCTCATTATCCTCCTTTCTTTGAAGCCACAGTGAAACAGATCTTTTTCCAAAGTCCAGGGACAGAATGCTCTGCATGATCATGCCTAAACTGGCCAAATGTTTTGCAGAAAATCCCTTCTGAGAACACTGTAGTCCCTAGAACTCAATTTTTCCAAAAAGACCAGAATAGCAGAGAGGGAGTCACTTCAGGCTTGGTATTCCCGAGTTTGTGCTTTCTGACACCATGACTACCTCCTTGACTGTAAAGACAGAAGGAAATCCATAGCAGATAGCCCCAAACCAATCTTTTTTTTGCCTGCTACCCACTGCCAACTGTACACACTTCATAATGACAGCAGCCAAAGGAAGCAATACAGACCCAAAGAGAAGTGGCACCACACGTGGGGGGCATGGCCTCTTCTCTAAAGAGAGGTAAATCAAAGTTCTTACCTTCTAAATTAAAATCTAGTTATGTCATACCACTGCTAAAAAAGAAAAGGGGTGGTGGTGGGGGGGGGGGCATTCAAAACTCTCCATAGCTTTCAGGATGAAGTCCAAGCTTCCAGAACCAAGTGTAAGGAAGCCCTTCCCAATCTGGGCCCTGCATACCTCTCTGGCCTCATCTCTTTCCACTTAGTCCTGCCAACCCTTGCCTCCCCTCAGCCAGAGGGAAATGCCTGTAGCTCCCAGTGCCTGCACTTCTCCCTCCAGCCTCATCTGCGCATACCTTGGCCCTACAACCTACCACGTGCCCCTCCCAGGCCAAACACAACTTAATTTGGCTGGTCTTTCAAACTTTTTTTTGAGATGGGGCTTTCATTTTTGCTCAGGTTGGCCTTGAACTTGTGATCCTTCTACCTCAGCCTCCCTAGGTCTTTCAAATCTTATGTAGGCATCATCTTTTCTACAGGACAGTCTCTGATTCCAGCCAGGATACCCCACTCAAGGTTCTTCTATAGGAATGTTGCTGTCTTACCTGTCTGACTCCTTCACTGGACAAGGCTTCAGTGCTTGGTACACAATTGGTATTCAATATACGGCACCCAGCATCACTAAAGGGGCAATGTTTAGAAGACTGGCTCATATGGACAGAAAGTAAATATAAATTTGAATTCTTTTTTTTTTTTTTTTTGATACTGGGGATTGAACCAAGGGGCATTTAACCACTGAGCCACATCCCCAGCCCTTTCCTGTATTTTATTTAGAGACAGGGTCTCACTGAGTTTTCCAGGTTGGCCCAGAACTGGCACTCCTCCAGCCTCAGACTCTCAAGTAGCTGGGATTACAGGCGTGTGCCACCACGCTACCCTCAAGACAGCATATTGCTCAAGAAGCACTGCCTTGGTGAAATATAAGTCATATTTTTTGAACTGTCTTTTGATTGTGAGTATAGCCCCTTGGGAGGTAATGAAACAATTTTATAGTAGACAAGTTGTTCATAGTACTAACTGAAAAAGCAAGAGCTGGGCATGGTAGCGCAAGTCTATGATCCCAGTGGCTAGGGAGGCTGAGGCCCTAAGCAACTTAGTGAGATCCTGTCTCTAAATTACAAGTAAAAAGGGCTGAGGATGTGGCTTGATCATACAGTGCCCTTGGGTTCAATCCCTGGTCCTCCCCCAAAAACAGCAGTCTATTCGAATAACATTTGAGGTGTTTCTCAAAGTCAGTCTTTCCCTGAAGACACAACAGCACTCAAATATTGCATATTCTGAAGATAGGCAGGAAACAATGACTTCAGATGTATGCAATGACACAGGAAGAAAAAAAAATTCTATTATGGTCAAACTTTTCTGTAGCACTAGAGGGCAGGAATCACCAAGGACTAGAAGTGCCTCTGGATTATCAAGAGCCTGAACTTTCACTTTCAGAATCAATCAGACCTCATTTGCTAATCACTCCACCTCCACTCAGATTTGGTTTGGCGAGCTATTGTGGTGGGGAGGTGGCCTTCAATGCTCATTAATAGTAGAGAGAGAGGGAAGGTGACCCAAAGCAACTGCCTACATCTGAAAGGCATGAACAGTCCATAGGTAGACAGTGATGTGCACATGTTGCTTCATCCCTTCCATGGCTCCCTCCTTCAAGGTGCACATTTATAAAACCCTTTGTGGAGCTCAAGTTGTGGCTCAGTGGTAAAGCACTCGCCTAGCACATGTGAGGCCCTGGTTCGATCCTCAGCACCTCATAACAATAAATAAAATAAAGGTATTGTGTCCAACTACAAAACAACAACAACAAACTCTTTTTGACACCTGAAAAGTGAATCAAATTCAAGACAGCTTTCAAATAGCTGGGTGCAGTGGTGCACATCTGTAATCCTAGCAACTCAGGAGCCTGAGGCAGGAGGACCACAAGTTCAAGGTCAGCCTCAGTAACTCAACAAGACGCTGTTTCAAATAAAAAATAAAAAGAGCTGGGAGCTGGGGATATAGTTCAGCAGAACACCCTGTCCTAGGAGCTATCCCCAGGATTACAAAAAGAAAGGAAGGAAGGAAGGAAGGAAGGAAGGAAGGAAAGCAAAGCCTTCAAATAAATGCCCAAAGTAAACATTAAAAATGAAAAGTAAGGGCTGGAGTGTAGCTCAGTGGTAGAGTGTATGCTTAGCATCCAAGTGGCCCTGGTTCAATCCCCAACACCAAAAATAAATAAATAGGGCTGGGGTTGTGGCTCAGTGGCAGAGTGCTCGCCTAACACACATGAAGCCCTGGGTTTCAATCCTCAGCACCACATAAAAATAAAGATATTGTGTCCAACTAAAAAAAAATAAATATTAAAAAAAAAAGAAGAAAATTTTTCAAAAATTAAAAATTAAAGGTATTGTGTTCACCTACAACTAAAAAAAAATAAATATTTAAATAAATAAATAAAGGCTAATGCCCAACTCTAAAAGTCCTCCACAGGTCTCCAGGTAGGGAAGCAACAAAATGCTAGCCAAGGAAACCAGCTTTGTAGGACATGGTGGTGCACACCTGTAATCCCAGCTACTGGGAAGGCTGAAGGGGGAGGATTACTGAATTCAAGGTCATTCAGGGCAACTTACTGTGACTTTGTCACAAGGTAAAACAAAAAAAGGTCTGGGGATGTAGCTCAGTGATAGAACTGTTGCTTAGCATGTTTGAGGCCCTGGGTTCAATCTGTGGCACCACCAAAACCCACAAAAACCAGAGAGAGAGAGACAAACAGACAGACAGACAGACAGACACAGACATATAAAAAGGGCTGGGCACATAGCACTGAACTACACCCTCAGTACTTGCCCAGCATGCTCAAGATCCTAGAATCAATCCCCAACCGGTGGGGGAGACCAACTTTGAAATCAGTCTTGTGATCAAATCCCAGCTTCTCCTCTTACTATGAATGTGATCTTGAACAAAATAGGTTACTCCCTAAATCTCAGTTTCCTCGTCTATAACAGAAGGACAATGGTTCAACAGGTCATTTCAAAATTATTTCAATATAAGATACATAAAGAAGCTGGGCACAGGGCTGGGGGTATAGCTCAGTTGGTAGAGTGCTTGCCTTGCGTGCACAAGGCCATGGGTTCAATAATCCCCAGCAAAACACACACACACAAAAAAAAAAAAAAAAAAGAAAGAAGCTGGGCATAGTGTGTGTATACCTGAAATTCCAGCTACTAGGGAGGCTGAGGCAGGAGGATTACTTCCAGGAGCTCTAGACCAGCCAGGGCAACATAGCAACACTCTCTCTCAAACACACACACACACACACACACATATATATATATATAAAATGTCAATGAGGCAAGGTTTGAGGTTCTACCTCTGTTACCTGGCACAAGTTACATCTTTACACCTCTGGGTTTACTCAGCTGTAAAATGGGGGCCTGCATTAGTTGACCTCTAAGCAATTTACACATTCTCAAAAAACTGAAATAATCCCCAATTTCTGCGGAATCCTACATTCATTTTTGTTCCTTTAATTTTCTCCCTACCACATTAAGGTGAGAACTCATGTTCTTATAAAACAGGTGAAGAAAGCTGGGCTTGGTAGCACAGCCTTGTAATCACAGGAATTAGGGAGGCTGAGGCAGGAGGATTCAAATCCCAGGCCAACTTCGGCAATTTAGTGAAACCCTGTAACAAAATTTTAAAAAATTGAGGGTGTAGTTCAGGGGTAGAGCACCCTTGGGTTAAATCTCAAGTACCTACCCTCTCCAGCCCAAACACAAGGTGAGGAAAACCAAAGAAAGGCCCAGGTGTCCTAGAAACTTATCCTTTAAGTCACAAATTATGGCCCAAGCTTTTCTACAGGGGGCAGCACAAGGGGTGTCTGAGTGATTCACTCCCGTTAGTGGAAGGCAATAAACGCCTTTACTGCCTTTACCGGAAATTTGGCATTCTCTGGCACAAAGTCATTGTTAAGCACAGGCCTAGCACACAGCAGACACTCAAAAATTTTGGCTGAATGAATGGATATCCAACTGACAACTGTTATGCCCTATAAAAGCTTTAATTTACTTGACTCAAGCCAAACTCCGAGAAAGCTGGTAGGCACTGAGAACTCCACTAAATGTCCTCTGAACCAAGTACTCCTTCAAATACTCAGTTATGCTAAGTGGAAAAACATAACCGTGGGAGAAATGCTGAACCAGCGGAAAAAACTTCGAAGCCAAGTTTCAACATTCCTGGAGACATACACACCCACTGCTGCGAGGGTCAATTTCCCAGTCTTCTTCCAGGGCACCCTCCAAGGTGCTTGGGAAAGTAAGACCCAGCTCCTGTTCTACCCTGAGACACTCGACTCCCCACATAAACCCTTTAGGTGGATGTCGCTCGAGCCAGCACTGCACAGACACGGACACAGGGACACCAGAGAGGCCTCTTCCCGGCTTTGCCAGGGTCACCATAGAACCAACAAACTCTGCAAAGACCAAATTAATCCCGAACCTAGCTGAACTGGCAGTTCCTACTGAGGTGAACTATTTTCCTACAGCTGCTAGAGGCAAACGAAAACTCCAAAGTTGAGTGGAACGGTCTGTGTCCCCCAGTCCCGGGAATGCAGCTGGTTCACACTTCGCACCCCTCCCCCGGGGCGAGAGGCGGCCGGCCGAGCTCTGGGTAGCTCCGCCGGGGTCCCCGGAGAGCCGCCCGTCGCGGACTCTCACAGTAAGACTGAAAGAGGAAAAAACCCAGGCTCGCCCACCGCGGCGGATGGCGCAAAGCGGTGGGGGATTTTAGCAGAGCGGAGGGACCCCAAGAGGACCGGACGTCCCCGGGTCCGCAGCGGCCTCCTCCCGCTTCCCCCCCGAACCGGGCACGCCGCCCCGGTCCGCGCAAGCACCCCTACGGTGAGTCCCTCCTCCTGCGAGCACATGAACTTTAAAATGGTGCCTCGGGCGGGGGGGCCCGAAGGGAAAGGAAGGGTTCCAGGAGCCGGGGCGAGCGAGCGGGTGCAGGGGCCACGGAAAGAGACCCCAGGTGGCGGGTGGGGCGCCCCGGTTGACGCGCACACGGGGGCGCGGAGGGAAGCGCACCGGGCAAAGGTGGAGACAGAAATGGAACGCGGCCCCTTTAAGAGGCCTTCAAGGCACTCAGGGACCGGGGGCCTCTCCTCCACCCCCGGCCCGGTGTGTGGGGCCCTTCTTTGGGGAGAACCATCCCCGGACCCGTTCACCGGAGTCTTCCCTCACTCCAGGTCCCGCCCGGCCCTGCCCCGGGGCGGCGGCTCCTCCTTACCCCGCTGTCTGCCGCCTCCTCCCAGCTCTCAGCGACCTCCTCATCTTCCATCTTACTCGCCGCTTTCCCTCCTCCCCCAACCCCTCCCCGCGCCTGCGCCCTGAAACGCGCCTCCGTCGCGGGCGCGGGCACGTAAGGCTTTACTCAATGGACCCCGCCCCCGGCCGAGCCCGGAAGAAGCTTCAGGCTAGGGCCCACTCTAACCGAGGCTGCCATCTTGGAAGAGGGTGTGGAAACCGCGCAGCGGCCATCTTTCCTAAGGGAAACGCGTTATTTCTTGCACAGAGTGGGAATTCCACTGAAGTCATCGTCTTCAGTACAGGAAGCGCGTCTTTTGGGACCGACGCAGGCAATTACTGAAAACTTTTCTTTTTAAGTGAGTCGCAGTTTCCCTAATCTGTAG